ATACCTGCTGCTCTTGCATTACCATTTCTCATTTTGGCGCCTGACACCCCTGCTGTGTGGCCGTTACCCTCCAGGAACACCAAGCCCATTAAGTTAGTGCAATGGATGCTTGCATACCCAGTGCTTGCAATGCTGCTATCTGCTGCAGCTCCTGCAGCCCTGACAGCAGTCGCCTTGCTGCAACCCCTTGATGTCGACACCAGCTTGGACTCCTTCAGGATAAGGGATCACCCAGTGGCTGAGACAGAGGTAAAGCTTTGGCTGTGACATTGGGTCGAGTCTTAAAAAGATAGAGACCTTGCTAAAATCTCAATATATAAACCTATATTCAGGCACAACATGCTATTGTGCTCCAGGTGTGGAGACACTGCTGGGTGGTGGTACATCTATGGCAGGGTTGAACTCCGCAGGGCACGAGACAGGCCACCGGTGATTGCACTGCTTCATGAGTACCCACAGGGCGGCAGTCCATATGGTTAAAGGCAAGTTCTTCGCGGTATCCATTGGTCACCTCTGTGTCTAGCAGGTGTTCTTGTTTTCAAAGGAAAGTTTATGTGGCAGTAAATTAAGGTTTGTTAGGGTGCTACAGTCCAGTTTGTTGTTTGCAGCCCACTTTTTTGCTAGTTGCATGGACAGCCCCTATTTTCACAGGCGCATTTACCTTCCATCCAGCATCAGATTCAAAACCAAACTGAAACTGAAAAACACAATATGGATGATTAGCTTCCCCGCGTCAAGGTGGAAGAACAGAAAACGGGAATTTCCAAAGAACTGGCCGCAGTATGCCCCAAACTGGCTGTGAATACATGTGGAAAATCTCTCTAGGAAAGCACAAGAAATGGGACTGCCAAAACAAGCGTTTCATTTTGAAGCCCTACAAGGTGACGCAACATTTGAGCTATCCGTGAGTTTTGCCTGTAAATGGCAGTAGATTACATGGAATTATCATGGCAGGCTTTCATGGGCGCACTGGTACTTTTACACTTGGTCTGAGAGCAAGTTGCTGACAGGCTGTTTTGGGTGGTATTTAAACACTGCATGTACAGTCAGGCATATCTTGCCATTTGAACAGTGTTCAATGTTGATGTGCTCATCGATCATTGGTGTTGACAGGATGCCTACCAGGCGGCCCTGACAAAGACCCTCGATTTTTGGGATCGCGTGAACTCAGACGAGTTCACAGCGGCCCAAGGGCGGCGACTTCAGTGGAACCATCCCCAAGCTTTGGAACCTGAATTGTACAGATTACCTCACTCAAGGGCCTTGTCACAAAGTAGCAGTGCCTCCCGTCGCCTTCAGTCCTCATGGAGATTGCATGTTGTGTATTCGATGAGGAATGGGAGCTCTGTGTGGAATGAGGATGCCATGGAGTGGATACGAGACTTTGAGCGCAGGATTGCCACCTTTCCCGATTATGACAAGTTCTGCGTTCATATCACAGAATCGGAGGTGGGCTTGGCTTCGCTACGCTGTTGTGCTCAAGTCATCAATCAACCTTTGATGCAATCTGTGATTTTGCTTTTCTAAGCTCCCAGCTGAAGCACCGATCAGCAATGGGCGAATTTGCTGCTTTGTGCACTGCCAGAACGTTGTGCTGGCTGTGAAGAGTATGAAAGTTTTTGGCGAAGTTGGCTGCTTGGAGCAATTCTATGTTGATGACAATCGTTAGTTGTTGGCGAATCACTGCCCTTTCACCCATGTGGAAGTTTCTGTTGGCCCGTCAGATGTGTTGCAGTGGTCAGAGTTGATGGCTGCATCTGTTGCTTTCTTGGTTTGGCATTCTCATTGTATCTACCATACTTCCACTTTAAAAAAGTATGTATGAAAGTATGTATGCAATTGTCTGGAAAACTCGGTACCCATTGGTGGCTGTGGCTGTAGGGGCCCAGGGAATGTCGACCACCCAACTCTGTTATAAATTTCGTGTTTCCTTCCATCAGCCAGTCGCAAGACGGTGGTGTTGAAGTGGTTTACGACGGCAAGGGAGAGACTACTGGGTCCCTGTTTGCCCTCAGCCAGCAATTGGCTCTCAGAGGCCTCTATTGGTATGTGGATGGTGATTCAGACCTCAGTGGGGGGACCGTCAACTCCCTGAGGACTGATTTTTTGTTTGGGAAACCGGTGAGTGTGTCCTCGTCTTCTGGAAACAAAGGGGTATGGTATGATACTAGCATCCACCAGTGATAATGTGCACTGGAAAAGGAGCATGCTTTGCTGTGCTGCAAAATTAAGCACACCATGAAAGGCACAAGCACTTGATGGCGAACACTGATGGGGGGGTATTGAGTTAGCATTTCGTAGTCTGTACTGCTGATATGTCGGAAAGGAATTCCAACATGGTGCACCAGGTGGGATAGTGTATCTCTTTGCATTTCTTTGTTGGCTGGTTGACAGTTGTGCGCAACTGAAAATCGCAGTGTAAAAAAGTTGGATGTCATAGCCATGTGCCAATGATACCCTGCTGTGGCAACAGGTGGACGGTTTTGCGTCCAGGGACGACAGATCTGCTCAGCAAGATTATGAGTACAAGAAATTTGTTACGTCAATGTACAGTTTGCTCTCAAAGAGTGGCAATGATGACATCCGGGTAAATTTTGGAGGGGAATACATATCAGATTACGAGATACGGCAGGTGCTTTACGAGGACATTCGGAAAGTCTTCATTGGGCTGGCAGCAATTCTGCTGTTCTCATGGTGGCACACAAAGACTCTGTTCATATCGTTGATGGGGATATTGGAAGTGGTGGTCTCTTTTCCAGGTGAGCTTCACTGGCACACCTGACTTAATGACCTTGAGAGACTTCCATTCTGGAAGGGTAGGGGAGGATGGGCTCTCCAGCAGTTTGCTAGGCAAGGGGGGCCAACTGTACAACGTGTTGCCTGTTGCTGCAAGAATTGTGCTTTATGCTGTCCTGAACATCGACCTAACCAGTTAATCATCACGAGCAGCATAACTACCCATTTGGAGTTGCTTCAACATAGCAGCATCTGTTTGTCTGGGATCGAGTCAACTTTGCCATAGATTTCCCATTGGCCCTTTATTGGAGTTCATTCTCTCAATGTGCTCACCATGTGTGCATCATGCAGCAGTGTCATTGTATTTGCAGCTTGTGAAGAACTGCAATAGCACTTCCTTTGTGTCAGCAATTCAGCAGTATTGTGTTCTGACTCCTTTATTTTGTGTGGTGTCGCAGTTGCTTATTTCTTTCATCGCGTGGTGATGGACATTCATGCTATAAACGTCATTCAATTTTTGGGACTGTTCATAATTCTTGGCATAGGAATTGACGATGGTAGGTTGCTGCAGGTTTTCATCAAATCTCAGGCGCAGACTGAACCTCGTGTCCCTTTTGGCATAGTTTTGAAGGAGGGAAATGCTCAGCATGCATGCCTTTTTCGTTGGGGCATCTTTTTTCTGCAACCAGCTGCTGCCTTGCTCACAGAACCAGCCACAGTGAAGCCGTAGCACATTCGGGCTGTTGAGAGTTGCATGCATTTATGAAACAATCAGCTTCCCAGCTATGGTAAAAAATGGATTGTACAGTGCTGTCCAACAGATTTTGTTTTGTGGCTTTGTCCACAACACTTATGTTTCTGTGCCTACAGGACTCATGTTGCAAATTCATAAGCAAGCTGGTTTCTTCTGATGCTGCCTCTCCCTTCAGCTGGCATGAAACCCTGTCCTGTCACATTGGGCAATTTGTTCACATATAAAGGGTCAGGACATGACAACCATTTTTTGTGGTGCACATCCAGTTTTCGTCTTCTTTGACACGTACTCATCTTCCCAGCCTACCCATTGGAACGTGCATGCAGCAGTGCGATTGTCGCATGCTTACCGCAAGGCAGGTGCTGCAATGGCAGTCACATCCTTCACATCAGCCATCGCCTTTGCTGCCAATGTCATCTCTCCGATCCCAGCTGTTCGTGTGTTTGGGATGTTCCTGGCGATCATGGTTGCCGCAAACTACTATCTGGTGATGACATGGCTACCATCGTGTATCGCCTTTTATGAAAAATACATCTTGAAGCAGAGAGCTGCGGTGCGTGTGCATGTTGGAAAGTGGAAAGCTACGATGGCCTTCTTAGGCCTTTGTCGATGTTGGTGGATTATTGTGTTTTTGTAACTTTGGTGGTATGCATGGGTCTCTGCTTGCGACTGGATTTGATGTTTGAGCAATGTGGCCTTGTGTGCAGGTTCCTGACTTTTGAGTTTTCTGCTCTGCGTGTTGATGCTGATGCTGTGGAGCATAACATTTTGCATGATCAATTAACAGTACTGTGTGCATGTGATCCTGCAATGTCTATATGTACCGCTGTTGTTGCCTTCTCTTGTCCACATTTGCATCGAACTGCTGTATTCGGATGCATTCGTTCACGGTTGGAAGAGGCACTGGTTGGCTGCCTCCTTCAACACAACATTTGCTGCGCATTTGACTTGAGAGTTCTTGTTGCAGACTCTCAAACTGCAAATATGCTGATCTGAAGTCCTATGTCTTGGAACTTGGGTTGCTGTAATTGCTCCTCACTTTAACTCATCGTGCTGGGTCAGCAGATTGCCAACACAAAGATGCATCCCTGCAACCTGCTCTGTGGGCTGTTTTGTGGCCCTCCACCCCAGAACTATTTTGACATGTCAGGGGAGCAGAATGGCACGATGAGCAAGGCATGGGCTTTCTGGAAACAACATTCCAAGATCATTTACAAGGGCCGTTATCTCTTCCTGCTTTGTTTTCTGGGGATTTCTGGATTAGGGGCTGCGGGGTTGCTGAAATTGGAGGGAAGCACTTCAGTTCCTGCGGTGTTTCCAGCAGACCACAATGTTCAGGTTAGTTGTCCAATTGGCTCCAGGGAACCTTGCTTGAGAGTTGTGTTTGGATTGTTGTGTGGTTCGATTCACGTATGTGGTGTTGACACTTTCATGTGGTGTAACTGCGCTGCAAAGTGGCTATTGAGTGGCAGACGGTTTCTAAAGCTGTTCAGTATGACTTAACTGGCAGTGGACAAGGCATCCGTGGCATTTTTTGGTTGTTATGGGCAGCTGTGGTTCATTCTTCCATTGTTCACTTGGGTGTTTCTGCTAACTCTTGGCATCCTGCAAGACAATCTTCGTGTTATTCAGCATCTCCATGCAGCGTGACGAAGTGTGGTTTGCAACTGATGCTGTTAATGATAATCTTTCACAACTGCAGTCCTGAGCTCTACAATACAGACATGAGTTGAGCAGCAGGCAGTCAACGGCATGAGCAGTTCAATTTCGTAGATTTTGTGAGCCTCATTTTTGTGCATGAGCTAATCCATTTGTCTCCACAGGTGTTCTTGGACTTGTGGGAGTCGTCCTTCCTATCCAGTGGTTCCTGTGACCGATGCTGGCGGCATTTTCAGCAGCCTTTGAGTGGGGACATCCCAGAAGACATCCTCTCCTCGCTCTCGGTGGCTGGAGGGCCCCCTTCGCCATCATCAGACCCCTCAGGTTCACCCTCAAGTTTCACAAGCTCCCCATTCTCCAGTGCTGGATCTGGGCTCAACCCAACACCACCGCCCACTCTCCCGCTTCCCTCACCCCCTCCACCTCCCAGTCCCAGTGCTCCTCCACCACTTGCAGCAGTGCTGCAGCCCACGCCGGCTGCCCCTGCTCTGGAACCTTCCACACCTCCCCTGCCCCCTCCTGAGCCCACTCTTTCTTCACCTTCAACTCCTCCCCCACTGCCCCCTCCCCCACCGCCCCCTCCCCCACCGCCCCCACCACCCCCTGCGCCCCCAACCCCTCCTGCATTGTCGGTTCCCCCCTCTCTCCCAGAGGGCGACCCCGCTGCCCTTCTGCAACCATCGCCCCCACCACAGCAGACAGCGCCCCCGCCGCCCCCCAGTGCGATGCAGGCTACTCCGTCCCCGCCACCTGAACCGTCTCGTGCTCAGCTACAACGTCAAATGAAGGAGCTTATCACGGAATCTTTTGAGATACAAACAATATCTGGTGAGTGGCACAGCCTGTTTCATTTGATTGTTCTATTGATTTTTTGTTGCTATTCCAGTGTTGCTTTGTTTTGTTGTTCTGCTTGTTGGCAGCAGCACTCAAATGGAGTGGTGTTGAAAGTGGCTTCAGTCAAGCTGAAGCGTATGTGGTGAAAACAGATCTGTCTGCCTCTTAGTGCTCTTCTGCTTGCTGCTTGCCAAAGTGTGTAAATGAGAACTGCCTTATAATTCAAAGGTTTGGTGTAAGCCTGTGCTCGTACACAATGTTCACATGGCTGAACGATGAGGTTGCATTCTTTGATTGCCTTTATTCAAGCCCAAATAAGACAGAGCAGGCTGAGATGGCAGCAGGTGGGTGTTAGAGCTTGACAGCAAACATAACTTGGGCCTCAGAAAAGGAGATTAATTGCTCTGTTTTGTGCTGCCCCTCACAGATAGTACTGTGAAGTTGCGATGGACATCCTTGCGGTCAGAATCTATTGATGAGTTCATTCTTGAATTTCGGAGAGAAGGTGATTCCCAGTGGGAAATGGTGTACAGTGGCCCAGACTTACGGCATGAAATTCTGGGACTTGAGGCGAGAACGAGATACGACTTCAGGTAGGGTTGTGTGCTAAACTGCAATTTAGCGCTGGAAGTCTGTAAAATCCTCTGTGTACCTGGCGCCATTTGTACTGTGTGTTAACCACCTGCTGTGGTGACCACTGTGCAGTTGCCCTGAAAGAAACAATACTGCACATGGGGTGTTAGTTATATGAGCTTTTCTGCAACTCATCACTGAATGGAGCAATAGGGGAAACTGCTTTGTGTCTGGTGGGAAGTTCCTTTATCTGTGTGGATGTCAGGTGTATGTGGTGGGTGCTAGTTTGTCTTTCCAGACTTTTGCTGGCTTTCTGCTTCCAGCAACTTGCCATTGCTCTGGGTGCACGTCCTACATAGGGTGCCATGTGGATTGCAGGGCTCAAGTTGATCCATGTACGTGCATCCATCCTTATGGCCATAGGCAGTGTCCATGCTGGGGTGCAAGTTTCAAGAGCTTGTGGCGCTTGCTTAACTGTTTGTGCTCTACATTCTCAATCGCAAGTTTCCCTGCATTTTCAGGCTGGGTACTGTCAGTACTTTGGGGACAGTGTACGGTGAGCCCATCACTGGAGAGACAGATATTTTCGACCCCCCAGGGCCCCCCGAAAGCCTGTTGCTTGTGGAGGCAACTCCAAGAAGTCTTCGAATTTCATGGGAGGCTGCCGATGCTCCAGATGTGCCACTTGATGGTGAGTGGATGTGCTGTCTCTTGTTTTAACATCACAGTATGGCAATATGCCTATTCAGCAGGTGAACTGAGTTTGCAGCCCTGTTGGATGTTTGGGAACAGAGTTATGGTGTGAAGCAAAATTGTCAATGCCTGGAAAGACTGGCAGCCACGTAACTCCCAGCGGTGGCTGAAAGGCATTGCCTGTTTTGGGAGCATTGCAACAGACATGTGTGTGCCTGCAGGTTTTGATGTCACTGTTGAACCAGCTGCAAATGGTTTCGACACAACCGTGGTGACCTACACAGTTGAGAGCAACGTGTTGACAGCCTTACTTGGGCCATTCACCAGCAGCACTACCTACTTGGTGCGGGTAACTGCCTTCAATGATGCCGGTGGCAATTCAATCTCCTCTCAGTTTACGACACTTGCATCAACAACTGCGAGCAGCTTAGAGAGCCAGGCTGTGGCCAGCTCAGAGCTGGGCAGGGACATTAGAATATCGACCATACAATCTCCAGGTGTGCAGAGCCAGAAGTGTGCTGAATGTTGCCAAACTTCGTAATCTTTGATGACCGTTGATGTTCAATGAATGTGGTGTCGCCCATTCACTTCGACCCAAGCCTATGTGATTCATCGTGCTTGCTCTGCTTTTCTCCAGTTTCAATCGTGCCAACTGCTGTAGAATCAAGAGCACATGCAGAGAGGGGTATATCCCTATTGCTGTCAACTGTGCATCAGGAACGCAACCTACAGATGCCATTGAACAATGGCTGGCCTCCAGTTGTACTGTTCCCAGCGTGGCCAACTCACGGCTGTTAATGCTCTGTCAAGGCAGACATCAACTGCACAAATTTGCCATGCACAACCCAACATGTGTGACTGTTGAACTTCTAAAGGCTTTTGCATCCCGCTTGTCACCTGCTGATTTGTTCTTGTGCTTTACAGAGTTTGGGCGCAGAAAGCTGCAGCAGGGGACGTCCAGTCTGTCAGGCAATGTATACGTGGTGGTGCAGGCACAGACAGAAGATGAATCATTCCCAGTGCCAGGGAGGGTTGAGGGTGAAGGGGAACTTGCACGTGTGGTGGAAAGTGGTGCAGGCAAGAGCACCACTGTCACTGAGGTAACTCCCAATGGTGATTTAATAGAGAATATTTTGTGTTCTTGACACTGTTTGCAGTGGGAGCCCCTTGAGCAAATGAATATTCAGGTGGTGTACATCCCTCACTTCTACCTTGAGAATGCTTTGAGCATGTACCCTCGTGGACACCCGAACAAGGAGCCTGCGATTGTCTGCAGTGCCTCGAAAGATGCCAGTCCTAGCTGCATCATGTATGCCTGTGATGTTCAAGCAATCCCCAATAGTCTATACCCACACCTCCACGATGTGCACCAGCTGCTAAAATTGCAAGTATTTGAGTGGGCATTCTGCAACGAAGTGCCAAGCTCAGGCCCTCATGAAACTGCCATTCTCACTGTTTGTGTACTGCAATGCTGTTGCCAATCCTTATGGGCTGCATTTGTCAGAACAATGACTGGTCACTTTCTTTCGCCCTGCTGGCGATGTTCGACCTCACATGCGACGCTGTGCCACAGGTGGAAGAGCTTGTTGGTCTTGCACTATCAGCAACAGGTGCCTCCAGCAACACTCGGGTGGTGGTCGTTGAAAATCTGCTTTCTGATGACCAGCCTACTTTTGCCAACTGGCTCTCTGATGACCTGGTCCTCCTTGTTGAAGGCGGTTTGGTGGCTATTGGACAATTTGGGAGGTCGACAAGGGGCCTTGTGGGATACGGCAGAGGTTCAATTGTTGCCTTCCGCGCAGGTGTGCCATTGCGAGACTCGTTTGAACTGTACCCTGTGGTTAAAAGGCACCACGTTGTGCAACACACTTTGTTGGGCAGTGTGCAAAGTGGGAACCTAGCTCACTTGCAGTACATGAGCCTTTACTCGTTGTTCCTGAGGGCGCTGCACACAGTTTTCAAGTAGTCATCCGGTTTTGAAGTCCACTATCTGCATCGCTGTTGCTTGAAGTAGAGATGCCTGCATTGCAGCTCAGCACACCGCTGGAAATCATGCGGACATGTTTTCTTGGTTCTCCTGGGGATTCAAGGCCTGTTTGTTGGCCTGCAGCCCGACAGCTTGCTCAATCATTCCTTCATTCCAATATGCGCAGTGCTTCTCCCTGAACAGTGTATCTGCTTTGGCAGGGATGACACGACCAGATGTGTTTGGTACAGTGGCCTTTGTTGAGCCTCCGACGGATGTGTCTGGATTTTCACCCCCAATAGCTTCTGGCATCAGTCTTCCCGAGAATGATTTATTGATGCACACCTCCCAGCAGTGGCCTGCCATGCGGGCCACGGCGCTGCTGAATGGTTGTGAATTGCTGCAGAGCGTGACCTTGCCCAGCCTGGTTGGTGCAGTAGGCGAATGCACCCTGTTTGAAGATCCTCAGGTATGCAGAAATTCGTTTGGCAACCACACCCTGTTAAGCCGTTTCTCGACTTGAGCTGCCTGCCGAAAGCATAAACTCATATGTACTTGTGCCAGTGTGCATTGCTGTTGGCAAGCCAAATGTGTGTTTGCCTTGATTGATCAGGGGTTTGGGTGGTGGTTGCCGTCTGTCCAACGCACTGGTTCAGGGCAGTGCCCCGTCGGTGAATACAGATTACAGAATACATGCAAGTGAATACAGATGCGTGCATGCTCATAAGATTACTTCCCATCATGTATTGTTGCCTTGGCCACTCTCAAGAAGCAAATCATCGAATGGGATGCGGTGTCAGCAGACATACAGCAGCCAGAGTACTCAGAGCTTAAGAAGACCACACAGCACTGTATGGCACCTTTCACCTTCTGACTCTCTGCAGAGTCCACGCTGTGTGGTTGTGAGTCGCGGCTTGCAACATGTGCAGCCGCACATCAGGTTTTGGTCTGCAACTGGACCAAGTTGGCAGCTGTAGGATCTTGCTCGTACATTGCCACGCACGACTTATGCGGACTGCGGACAACATGACATGTCTGTGCTGTCCTTTCGATTGGATTGCAAACTACCTCGTTAGTTTCTCCTGGATGTGTTGCATGATGGCAGAACGCAGGAAAAGCACGCACGCAGGCAATAGGTTCACATGCAGCAGATGCAATTATTGACTCACACCTGCTATGCCGCATAATTCCAGGAAAGGGATACTACCTCTTCCGCCATGGCAGCCTTCACATTCTTCAACAATGTATTCAACGCTAGGGCGGTGGACCAACAGATTCCTGACAAGCCAAAACGCAGCAACACAGTACTCATAAACATCGTCTGGGGTATAAAGACTATCGATCGTTCACAGGCGTCAACAGACCCGTTTTCAAGGTTTAGAGGCAACCCGGTTTACGATGGCCAGTTTGACATCACAGATGAAGCCACCCAGCTGTGGATCCTTGAAGTGTGCGAGGTGACTTCGGGGCTGCAGAGAACTAGCGCAATTTGCAATGTTCTGCAGGGTCTGCTGAATTCTGCCACCCTCATGGAGTCTCCGAATAGTACCGAGTTGTGTCCATAAACGATGGCAGTGGTGTTGAACTAATGGCATCTTGAATATTTCCAGTGACTCCTACACCCTGCTGCAATCGATGGGCATCTATGATTGAAAAGGCGTCCCCACTTAGTGTGTATCGGCAGGAATCTTCTGTCCCCTTCTGATACAGCTGTAGATCACCTTTTTTGAGATTGATGACCGGGGCCTCGAACTTGCTCTTCTGCAGTCTTGCTGTCCTTGAGGCTTTGCAGACACCTAACATCTGTGCAAGGAATGGCACATGGCAACAGCCTTGAGGCCATCCTCATTGCTTTATCCTTTATTGCTTGTTTACTGGCATCAGAAGGCCTTGACGTGACCTTTCCCCAGAGAACTACTGAATTCCGGGATTCATTACTCAGTATGGTACTATTCGTTACTCACTGCCTCTGCTGGATGTTCAGAAACTGGAGAACATGACTCAGCTGGTGGAGCGAAGTGACAAGTGTTTCGTGAGGGATTGGAAAAGGTGGCTTGAGCGAAACAGGGAAGAAGACCCCACATCACCTGCCTTTCCTGTGCCTGGGCTCCAAGCACTTGAGCAGCTCTGGAAGTTCACAAGGGCCTCGGGCCATTTCAATGACCATGTGGGGTATTTGGAAGACGAACAAGCCATGCCGTTTCCGCGCCCTAAATGGGTGAGAATCACAGTGAGGTCGAAGGTGGACAATCGCGTGTCCAGCTCTGTTGGTGTGGATGAGTGGGAGAAATGGGATATGGCTGTCAAGGATTTGAATGCAGTTGCACCGATTTCTTCCAGCTCGATGACCCAGACCACTGATTTGTGGGTGAGGTCCTTCACAGAGAAGGAGGTGGTGGAGGCCACGCAGTGGGCGATAGTCATTGCGGGTATCTGCGCCCTGTTGGCTATCACCGTCTTCACAGGTGTGACTGATTTGTGCTTTGAGTGAAGGCGTGCTGATATATGAATGCGGAGTTTCGCATATCTGTCTTCACAGAATTTGATGCAGTGCAGCATATATGAACTTTGCTTACAGGCATGCATGCAACCTGGGATGGGGTTTGACAGGGTTTACCTATTCAAACTCTCATGATGTTTGATATGCTCACTGTCATGAGCTGTTTCCATGTGAATGCTGACATGCAAACGACCACTTCGTGGAGAGCAGAAGCTTTGCAAGAAACAGCATTTTTGGTCATGAGGGGGATGTCCATTGCATGACACGTCTTCATACTTTACCACGCTGCTGCACCTGCGATTTCTGCATGTGCAGCACTATCCAGAATTGCAGTTTGGCAGCTTTGGGTGCTTGACAGCTCTACCAGAACGCATCTCGTGTGGTCATCGACCCATCACCCCTGCTGTGCGGAAGTCATGGCCTGCACCTCCATGACCCGTGCCTTGAGTTTTGAAATAACCGATGGCTTTGTGTTGGTGCTTCGCTGCTAGGTTCTCCATGGGTATCCTTCCTTGCAGTTCTGAACCTTGCTGGCATAATTGTGTCTATGCTGGGGTTCTTCTATCTGCTGGGATGGAAGCTTGGAGCAGTCGAAGCCATATCTGTCACAATCCTTGTTGGCCTGTCAGTTGACTTCACTCTCCACATATCTGAGGCCTATTCCAGGTCCAAATCCCACGTGCGGGGACAAAGGTAAGGACGAAGACAAGGGTGGTTGTCCTGTACTGAACAGCAGAACAGATCTACAAGTGCTTGCTGCGAGTCAATGCAATGAATGCTCTGAAGAGTATGCTGCATTTGGCATGTGCATGATAGGGTATATCATCGCTTGGGCCTGAAATGCCACATAAACAAGATGAATTGTGCACCGTAAAATTTTGGGAGTTTGGAAGTGGGGCCAATGGTAGCTTCTAGTGGTTGCCTATCTCCGCACAAAGCCTTTTTTCGGTAGTGCACTGTTGTCTCATCACAGTCCCACGCAGAGAGTTCCATGGCCTGAGATGCTGTACTCTGCAGACAAACCATGTGCCAGCGAGGACTCCGTTGCAACGAAAATGAGTTTTGCCGATTTCTTTTGCCAGGACAATGGAAGCGATCCAGAGGATGGGGTCTCCCATTTTTGCCGCCGCCGTGACCACTGTCCTTGCGTGCCTGCCCTTGCTCCTGACGACCATCCTGGTGCTCAAATTCTTCGGCACTGTGGTTGCCACCGGCATCGCCCTGTCAGTGGCGTATGGCTTGTACTTCTTCTCTCCCATGCTGATGATTGTGGGGCCCCAGGCTGGGCGCAAGTTGGCGGCAGAGTGGACATGTGGTCTGCGATTCCTGCACTCCGCGCTGTGGGGTTCTGGACTGAGGAGGGGATCTTTTCTTGCAGCCGTGGCCCTGGGAGCATTGGTAAGCTTTGTATGATCCGTTTGAAGGCTCTCATCTTGACGAATTGCAATGTAAATTTCCGTAGCATGCTCGAGGTGCTCTCCCCATCCAGGGTGTAGACATGTCATCGGAAGTTCACGAAAGCGAAGAAAATGGAATGATGCAGATCCCGCTGACCAAAGTCGCTCCCATGCAACATTTGCCAATGTGGTCCTCCTGTACACAAGGTAATGGCGGGGTATGGGACAGTGCCGATTCTCCTGTTTACTGGAAAGAGGGGCATCAGCGCCCTTGTTGTTACTTCGACAGTTTGGGTTGGGCACCTGTAAATTCAGTCCTGTTGCCATGTGTGGCTGTGACCACTGCTCTGAGAGCTCAGGACACGGCGAAATGCCATCGTATTAGACAAGACTCAAGGAATTGAAATCAAGAAATTCAGCGAGCATGGAAAAGAGCAATGTCGATGTCCACAGCGAAACCCCCCCGAAGATTCTGTTCCTTGACGAGTTAGTACAAGTCGTCGTTTGCTTATTATTTGTGCACTATAGACGCAGCATTGCAGGGCATCTGTACGCTGCTGATTCACTTTGCCAAGTTCATCCACAGTACAGCCACCTCTGGTCTTGGACATTTACCGCGTGCCCAGAATATCCACATGTTGCCCTTCGTTGATGAGCTGGCGTGTAGCACGCTCAATGCCAACCCCGTCTAGTTTGCGTTCTCCTCATCACAGTTTCTCAGCCCCAGCTGACATCGACGGGTTCGCTGCCGAAATGTCGCAGGCCTGCTTCAGGTCAGGGCGGGACGTCCTCCAGGAGCAGAGGTGGCTGGCGGGCATGGCGGGCGCCCTGTTCGCCGCGACCCTCGTCGTCGAGGCAAGGAATCTGTGGCGGAGGTGCGCTGCCGGCGGCCGCGGCGCTGAGGGCGTCCGACCCGACGGCTTCAGCTCGACGACCATGTTGCGCCAGCGGTCGTCGCAAGCGATCAACGGGATCAAGAGGCAGCCTCCCACATTGCCCGAGGGGCTGTTCGGTGTGCCGTTGCCCTCTGGCGCTGAATCCAGCGAAGGGAATCACAGCTCAGACTCCAGCTGTCGGTCGGACTCGCCCAGGGTTGAAAGGAACATTGAGGCGCCGGCGGTGCTGCCTGGCGGCCCGTCGCCAAAGATTTTCGGGGAAGGGGAGCGATGATCGCGGTGGGTGATGGGTTTCTGGGGATTGTGCAGCAATTCTTTCCCCTCGAGCTGAGAATTTTTGTCATCTCGGGGCCATTTGCTGGGGTGGGCGGGGTGGGGGTGGGGGTGGGGGGGGGTGGGGGTGGGGGGTGGAGGTGGAGGTGGGGGTGGGGGTGGGGGTGGGGGTGGGGGTGGGGGTGGGGGTGGGGAGAGTTCATTGGGTGGATGGGTACTGTACGACTAGGATGATTTTGCAGGAGTGGACAGCTGCTCTGTGGTTGGGGTATCTGCCTCGCACTTGCGCCTGGCGGCTGTGGGAGGCACTCAGTAGCACTGAATTGACAAAACATTGTTAAACAACATACTTTCGTGGCATCTGTGGTAATCCTATTAAAATGTAGTTTCACAATCGACTTGCTGAAATCTGTCAGCACAAGGATGTGGCGCGGTATTTGCGTATCAGAACCCGAAGCCAGGCCACTGCTCCATGGAGCAAGAACGTTGGCCAACGTTCTTATCCTACGGTTAGTAAAATTGATAGAATGACGGCAAATCTTCTCAAATTATGCCCCAACGCCATTACGGCAGGCTTGGGCAAACTCCTGATAGGTTTATTGCGAGTTCGCTGGGGTGTTGAACTGTTGCCCGCGTGTGGATATTTCCATGCCATGAACGCACGTATATTGTGGTGATGCGACACACGGGGCCGATCCCCATGCATCGTGACGCGAACGTTACCGTATACGGTAACTGCATACGTATGCAGATTTGTCTGTCGCCTGCTTGGGACGGCCAGGACTCCACCGGGCGTGCGACACAACCGGGATACCGGAGCAGGGATGCAACGCTGATGGTGCAAGGCGTCACGCCTTCCTCCCTGGTCCCTCACCGACCAGGGTCGGTACAGAAATGGACAAGGGGAACAGCTCTGTACATGGAAGCCCCACTCGCGCAAACTGCCCCATGTCGATCACCCATGTCCGATTCAAATCCCCCGCACCGCGCCCCATTACAGATTCCAGAGTCCACAGAATATTCTTTACTTTCACATGAGAGATCCCCGCGCGTCTAGTTCCCATGTGTCATCCTGTAATGCACCCCCCTCATGTCAATTCACTTCCGACGGCTGACACCCCGAAATAAGAAAGAACACATATAGACATCAGAAACGGATTCAGATCCGCAAGACATCCGCCCTCCACTGACGGCCCCCCGGCCAGCCCAACACTGCCTCCATGCATCTGGCCCAATCTGTCTCTGACCTACGGGTCTCACGAATCCATTCCTCCCACAACCTCATGTCGAGCTTGAGGGACTTCACGCGAATGTGCATGTCCATGTCAGCCTCGAAACGGGCCTGGGTGTGACTCTCAGATGAGGGCTGCGCCTCCATGTCGAGCCATATACCCTTGCCCGCACATTTTTTTTTATTTTTTATTATTTATTTTATTTTCCTTTTTGCTGGTTTCCTGGGGTCCTGAACCTGTTACAATTGCCATAATTTGCCAGCATTGAATTTCGAATCTAGTGGTGCCAGTACCGATCTGAACAAATGATTCAAAGCGCATGGCCGCATCCCTCTGGGTCGAAACCCCTCCGGGTGCGGCCGCACGCGATAAGTCCGATCTGCGCCCCGGCTCTCCGACGGTCCATGGGCTCAGCAGGTCCCATCAGTCGGCACCGCCTTCCTGCGCGTGGGTTGGGCGTAGCCCGGGCGCGTCGGTCCCCGGCCGCCCGTCTGGTTGCTGCGTGTCCCTTTGCGAGGGCTACGCGCGCATCTCCGCCGCGTTGCTCCCGTCGGCCGTGCCTGACGGGGCCCTGCGGGTGCCCCCGTACTTCGGCCGGTATCTGACTGGCCGCGCCGGCGGGCTGGGACCGCCAGCTTGGGGACATGTGTCGTTCTGGTATCGGTGGTGGCGCCATTCTGGTCGTATTTTTAGCATTGCTGTACAGTGGTGCGGCCTCCCGTCGGCCCCTGCGTCGACTCCCGTGCATCGAGAGGGTGGTCCAGTATTTTTCAATCGATGCCTGGTTGATCCGTGGGTCTCTTAGCCAGACGGGGAGCCAGCGAGAGGATTGTATTGAATGACTGGCCAATGTAAGCGTTTATTGGCGACCCCAACATTGGATAGAGGACCCAGTCCATCGTAGTGCTTGTTGTGCCTCGGATGCAAGGGTGTTTTACAATCAGAAGCGAACACTACCAAAACCTATACAGATGCGAAAGTTTAGGGCGTTGGATGCAAACCATGTGGAGGATGAGGAGATCAATCACATGACGTTACGAGCGGCTCTGAGACCATTGGCCCAGCTTCTGTGTTGCTATCTTGACGGCCCAATAACTAGCAGAAAAAGGACCAAATAACACTTTTCGCGAGCACGTATATAAGCATTTCGCCGGTTTTCTGCTGGCCAAAAACACAGAAATAATCCGAACCCGTAGACTTTGCACACGTTTGAACACCTCTTATTTGGCCCTTTTGCTCCTAGTGGATGCTTCCCTTCTCTTCCCCGTATGCCATGCCACGGTCCCTTTTCCGTCCTTGAATAATCACCACCGGCAAGCAGAAAAACACTGACAATCACCAGCCTGGCTCCAAAGAGGGCAGTTAGTCCAATGAAGGCCACTCCCATCGCCCTGGTGGCGGTCCAGTGCCCGCCAAAAAAAAGAGGCCGATGGCAAACCAGCACGGCGCCCACAGCGCTCGAGGCATACAGGCACCACGCAGTGCCACACCCTAGCTGCAGGCTCATGCGCTCAAGCATGACCGAGCAGTGTGATGGCGGGACCCATTGGATACAGGCTTCACGCATTGGTCAAGGGTTTCTGCAGCATCGCCAGGTCGAACAGGATGATGGCCGTGGCGCTCATGACTCCCAGCACGGCAAGCAACGGGGCGTCGGTGCCGGGTCCCAGTTTGTGATGTATGGCGCAGAAATGACTGTTGTGACCCAAATCGGGGGCCCCTTGGTTTCTTGGGGGACGTGACGGGGGAAGGCGTCACGCGACCAAATACAACCCGGAGTGCCTCCACAGGCGCCAACTTTTGCGATGGGACAGCTTCCCCCCTCCCTTATATGGATTCGCACCCCAACTATTTCACGTTCGCGCATATGAGGCACTGCACGAAGTTACACATGAACTTGCATATGAAGTTCCATGTGAAGTTGCATGTGAAGATATGGTTCGCAAGCGTCGGAGAGCGATCCCAATTTGACCCCGACTCGTTACTGTATGTTTCACTGATGTGGCAGTCACTTGACGCACGAGGGGCAGGATAAGGGCGCCTGGGCTGTGAGTGCAAGAACACGGGTTCCCCGCCCACGATCGCCCATGCCGCGATCACACGGGGAACGGCGAGCGGGCCATCTTCATGAATCGCGCTCCGCGGGCCCTCGAGCGGTCGGCACGTTTGGGACGCGCGTCGAGGCGATGCCCCAGGAGGAGGGACAGGCCGCGGAGCGAAAGGGCTTTGGAGTGGACGACCTCGTGGAGGAGCTGAGGTGAGCGCGGCGGCATTGGCCGCGGGTCCAAAGCCCGCGGACCAACCTGTCCTCTTGGAGCCCGCTTGCCCCCCGCGAAAGGCACGCTTCCCCACCGCGGGTTCTGGCGAGGACTGAGCGGCATGGAGTTCAGGGCAATCCGCCGCGATCTGGGCGGCGCTTTCGGGCTGCCCAGCCGGCAGCAGGTGCGCCTGCCCGTCGAAGCTGTAAGTAGCGCGTTGAGCGGTGCGTCCGAGGGGAATGTACCCCTTCGGGTTCGCGCGTCGCGGCTGCGTCCGGCAGCCGCCGTTCATTTTGGGCCTCGGGCACGTATGTCGCGCGACGCAACAACATTCTGCGACCAATGGCGCGAGATTCGCAGCCGGGCATCTGCCCAGTGCCTCTGCGCCCTCGAACGCCGTGCACCGAAGGTTGCTCATCACACATTGTCTGTTCCGCCGGGCGTTCCCTCACCGCTGCGCCTCATTTCGGCCCACACCATCCAGTTGGATGGTGGTGCAGCGATGCAGCACCACGGTGCTATCACAACGTGCACTCACAGTCCGGTGCGTACAAGCACCTGCTGTGCTGTAAATTGGGAGGCGGCTCGACTTGTAAGAACTTATGGGCCACTCTTTGCGCTTCTCTTCGCACCAGACGGTGATCAAGCCCCGCTCTGGTATCGCCGAACAGCGATACCAGAGCGGTACATGGGCCGCGCTGAAGGTCGCTCGCTGTGGTCGTCCCGATGCCGTCGAGTTCAGGCGTGTGCCGGATCGGCCGTGACCAGCTTCCCCCTGGAAAACCCGTCATCCGTGCATCTTTTCTGCGGCGATACAAGGGTTTAACGCCACCAATATGACAGTACTTGTTGGTGTGTCCGACGCGGGAGCCTTGTCGCGCAAACAGTTGCGTCGCCGCTGCCGCATGACATGGGCACCGTGTTTGGCGAGCGAGCCACTTCCTTTCCGGAGGCCCTCCAGGAATTGGCAGTTTTGGGGAGCGCGGTGAGACGTTGCCCGGGAGGGACAGACCGCAGAGCGAAAGGGCTTTTGAATGCCCGACCCCGTGGAAGAGCCCAGGTGCGCGCGGCGGCGTTAGCCATTAATCCACTGCCGAACGTGTAGTTGAGGATCCACCCGCGAAAGACGCCTTGCTGCGCCAAGGGGATCTGGCGAGGCCTGGGCGGCAAGGTGCGCGACGCTCCGCCGCGACATGTGCCGCGTTTTGGGGCTGTCCAGCCTGCAGCAGATGCGCCTGCGCGTGGAAGCTGCGAACCGCGTGTGGAGTTGCTCGTCCGGGGGAAATGTACCCCTTTGCTGTTGGGACCCGGCCAAGGGCCCGCATGCCCCGTCTGCATCCAGCCAACCTCGCGCACCATTCGGGCCTTTGGCACCTATCTCGCGCGACGCAGCAAGATTCTATGGCCAATGGCGCGCAGGCTCGCCGTTGGAAACTAGGTCCCTGCGGCCTCAAACGTCAGTGTCTGAGATTCTCTGTTCCGCTAGTCGTTCCATCACCGATGCTCCTGAC